TAAGATAAAGTTCCTCATTTTTCCCAGGAAGATTTTATTCTTGGGAGATGTGGGTATGTAGATGTGTGTATTTATTTCACTCTAGTGTCAAGATAAAAATAGATACTCTCCTTCAAAAGGAAGCTAGACTAAGTGAAGCATGTTTATAAAGATTTATGTATGGAGCTAAATTAATTCTTGAAAACTGAGGTATTTGTAGTCAGCATTTCACTTCATTCTGAGAACAAGTACAAATGAACATGTCGAAAGTGATGACAGTTATTATGCTTTTAATTTGATTTCTTACATATTCTAATTATATTCTTTTAATCAGTAACCACTCTTGTTCATTAGCTTCCCCAAAGTGAGACTGAACTCAGTTCCTAATGCAAAACAGTTTGTAATTTTTATGTAATATGACACGCTATTAAGTAAAAAGAACAATTGTTTTTTCACAAAAGACTTAGTAATGACAAAGGAGAACTTAAGCTAATCGCTGAGCAGGTATCTAATTTATAGAGCATCTTGAAAAAGACACTGCATCATCACTACCCGAGTCATCTGATTAAAGTAAAGATGACACTAGAACTACATTTTAACTTTGGGCATTTATCCAAGAGCTTGACCAGGCAAGGGTAAAGAGGAACAAAAATGACACATTTCAAGAGGTTTTAAAAATATTGTTGGGGAGATCTTCTTAGGAATATGCTTGAGAGCTTGTTCGGTTTTCATAATAACACTAGACTGCAGGCATTCAGCTCGCTGGTAGGTCCAGAACCATCTGCACCCTGTGCTTCATGCACATTGTTTCACAAAAACGTGAATGATGGCTCACTCACCTTGCATCACCAGAATTCTCCTTAGCATGCTGCCATACCACCAGCCTCCCTTGCCCCCAAGTTTGATTTCACTAGCTTGGCACGATACCAGTTCATGGGGATAAGGACATTCTATGTCAGACTGGACAGTTACTTATAGAAAACAGAAAGGGAAACAATGCATCTTGAGTAGTTAGACATACCTCGTCTCTGTGGTCCCATTTTATATGCTCTGCTTGTCTATTTTTATATACTAGAACAATCAAGACATTTTTGCTCTTGGAGATACATGCTGAAGTATTTAAAGTGTCCTGGTGTCTGCAATTTGCCTTCAGTCGTTGAATGATAAAAAAGTCATGTACACAGAGAGAGATTCTGATGAAGAATGAAGAAGCAAATATGGCGGTGCATAGACATTTGGTGAATCAGGGTAAAAGGTAGATAGGAATTCATTGTACCATTCCTTCAGTGTTTCTTTACATTTGAAAATTGTTAAATATAAAAATTGAGGGAAACCCCTAAATTGAAAAAAAAGTATATGTGATAAACTTTTTAAGATTTGCAATAGTTGAAGGGCAATAGAATTTGTCTGTAAATGCATTAAAGGCCCATAAATAAAATGAAGGTGGCTTCTCAAAAAAAAAACTTATTTCCTTTTTATTATGTTAACTTCATTATGTTAACATCATTATGTTAACTATGGTTCCCTTTTCCTAATGATCAACAGACTTTATTTTTTAGTATAGTTTTAGATTTATAGCATAATTGAGCAGACAGTACATAGTACATAGACCCCTCGCACAGTTTCTTCTATTATTAACGTCTTGCATTAGTGTGGTTATAATTAATGAACCAATATTAACACATTTTTATTAACTAAAGTCCGTAGTTTACCTTAAGGTTCACTTTTGTGTTGTACATGCTATGAATTTGACAAATATATAATGCCATGTATTCACCATTATAGTATCATACAGAATAGTTCCCTTGCCCTAAAAATCCTCTGTGCTCTGACTGTCCATCACTCCCTCCCCTAACCCCTGGCAACCACTGGTCTTTTTAGTCTTCACAGCTTTGCCTCTTCCAGAATCTCATAATTGGAATCTAAAGAATGTAGCCTTTTCAGATTGGCTTCTTTCACTTAGTAATATACATTTAAGATTCCTCTGTGTCTTTTCATGGCCTGATAGCTCATTCTTTTTATCACTGAATGATGTTCTATCGTCTGGATGACCAGTTTTGTTTATCCATTCACCTACTGAAGGATTGGTTGCTTCCAGTGTTTGGTGATTATGAGTACACATTTGTGTGCAAGCTTTTGTGTGGACATAAGTTTTCAAGTCATGTGGGTAAATACCAAGGAGTGAGATTGCTAGACTGTATGGTAAAACTATGAAAAACTGCCGCATTGTGTTCCAAAGTGGCTATACCATTTTGCATTCCCATCAGCAGTGAATGAGCGTTCCTATTGCTCCACATCCTTGCCAGAATTGGATATTATTAGTTTTTTGAATTTTAGCTATTCTAGAAGATGTGTTGTGGTATTTCACTGTTGCTTTAATTTGTAATTCTTTGACATATGCCATTGAGCATATCCTTATTTGCCATCTGTATATTGCCATCTCTACCTCAGGGAGATGTTTGTTCAGATCTTTTGCTCATTTTTTAAACTGGGTTGTTTGTTTTCTTATTGAAATTTGAATGCCCTTTTTTTTAAGCGGGTCATCTCATGAATAGAGTGAGGGTCCAATCACATATTCATTTATTCCACAACTATGGCAGAAACTGCATTCCCCTTCTCCTTTACGAACAGAAACCTGACATTGTTGCAGACAAGGTCCCTGGTCTTAAATACTTAGTATTTCGGACTCCTTTGCATTGAGTGGAGGTCGGGGGCAGGGGGTGGGGAAATGGTCAGTGTGACACAGTGTGGCCAATAAGTGCTGATTGGGGCTTCCCAGAAAAATTGTTAAAAAGGAAAACTCAGTGTTAAAAAGGAAAACTCATGCACCTCTTTGATCTTTTGCCCTTCACCCATACCCCTGACATTTTCCAGAATGTGATACAGTGCCCAGAAGGGGAGCAATCATCTTGTGAGGAGGCAAAGTCACTAGACAAGGACAGTAGAGCCAACGGATAGAAGGAATCTGAGGTACAATGACACCTTGGAGAAGTTGCAGAAGCCCAGGGCTGTCTCTAGACTTCCTGTTATGTGATGAGAAGCACCCTCTATTTGGTAAGAATTTAGTCAAGTTTCTGTAATTCACTCCCTGATATTTTTTAAGCAATGTTAAGTGTGAGACGCTCCCTAACAAGACTATTCTGAGCATTTTTTATTTAAAGGACTGGTTCACAGAAGTACTACATTTGAAAAAATTTCTGTATATTATAGACACAATGCTAAGGATGGAGTTATACTTAACATGTTCAGCACTGCATTAGACATTATGGGGAGAGGAAGCAAGAGTATAAAATAAGGACCTTACCCTCATGGAACTTACCATCTAATTAGAGATAAGACTGACCTATATGAATCAATCCTGAACACTTCAGGACAGTAAGATTAAGGACTAATAGTGGATGTAAACTAAGTGTAGCTGCAGTTTACATAAGGTGGGCTCACTGAGGAGGAGAGGAGCAAAGGAAATGTGAATAGCAACTCTGAAAACACACTTTGTGTATCCTACAGTTTCATATTTTTGAGCTTTAAATCAATGGTCTAAATATAGACATGGAAGCTATTGCCTGGGTAAGTGAAGACAAAATGAAATGAAGGAAAGTCATTTTAATTTGTATACCAACTCAGCTTTGAATTCAGAGAAAATTTATCACTCTAGTATCAATATTTCAAATACAGAACACTAATAATTCACTAAAATTCTATTTACCTTATTAATTGCCAGTATATTTCATGTTGACACGAAATGGAAACTAAGTATATGTTACCTTAAAATAGAGCTTTTGAAATCCTTCCCTTTGGAAGTAAGGTAGGTTAATAGATTAACACAAGAGGGGCCGGGTGATTTTTCTTCTGCATCTCCGGTGTTGCAAACATTGCTGATATTGTTAGCAACTGCTATTCATTTTTCCTAGCTTGTAGTTGCTGTAACTAGATGTAACAGATGTGGACAGTTATCACACGTCTGTACAGACAAGAGCAAGACAACCTGTATTAGTTTTTCCTGGACTCTTCATTGGGATTTGAACTTTTTTTTCTTAAATTTTTCAATATAGTGATCTTACTTGTAAATCAAAAAGAATAAAGGCACGCAAACCAAAATATAGATAATATTTCTAGCTAATGTTTTTAAACTCCTTTCCTTCAGGACCTAGGAGAACATACTTGGCTTTTCTTTCTTTTCTTCTCTCCCTTCCCCTTCCCCTTCCCTTCCCTCCCTTCCCTCCCTTCCCTTCCCTTCCCTTTCCCTTCCCTTCCCTTCCTTCTTCCACTCTTAAGTTTACGCCTGAGTCATCAAGTACCACCTGGCTGTGTTCGATTGCCACGGGGCTTAGTTTCCAGTGTTATGTCATGTTTATAGGGATTGTGAATTTTCTCACATGTGGGGTGGAGGGAGACTGGATATAGGGTGATTAAAAAGGAAAGAAGTGGAAGGATATGAGAATAGGCAGAATGCTAACGGATTTGAGAAGGGCATAAACCAACAGATGATGATGGGTATAATCTCTCAAGGTTGCCCGAACCCTTAACCTGGCAGGACCTCTGACTACCTACAGGTAGATGGACGTTTTTGCAGGGGCCCTCAAACCCAGGTAAGGTTAGGGTACGGGTGGAAACTCAAAGGGACTGCAGTGGGTACATCGTCAGCAAAGGTGATGGAAGGGCCCCTTACGATAAACTCGGCCCAAAGTATCTCCACCTCTCCACTCTACAGGCACTTGGGCCGAAGCCTCATCCGGAGTCGGGGGCGGAGGACCGATCGTGAGAGCCACCTCCTCCGCAATCCCCCGCCCCTCGGCGCCGACGCTCCGCGCTTCTTCCGTTTCCCCATTGGCTGAGGCGCTCGCCAATCCTGGCGAAGCGGCTTGGTGAGAGGCCTCTGGTTGGTGGAGCCGGCGCTGAGCCCCCCTCTTGCTCCGGCCGGGCCCCCAGCCGGGAGGGGGCGTGGCCGCGGCCGTGGCCGGGCTGGAGGCGGCGTCGCTGGCGCCGCTGCGTGCGGTGTGGTGCGGGGCGGGGGCGCCAGGCGACCGCGGCTCGGCGGGACCATGGAGCTCGGAGCGCAGCCCAGGCGCCGGCGGCGGAATCGCGGACCGGTGAGTGCGGGCTGCGGGCGGCCGGACTCTTCGGTCCTGGCCCCTTTGCTGCTTGGCTACGGGCCGAGCGGCTGCCCCGGGGGAGGGGCGGGCGCGGGCCGGGCCCCCGCAGCCCCGTAGCCAAGTGAAGTTGCTGCATCGCGCCGGGCGCGCTCGGGCGGGCAGCGGGGCCCACTGCGGGCCGCGGCGCCGCCCCGCGCCCTGCCCTGCAGCCCAGCCGCATCCTCCGCGCCGGCTCCCGGGCCGGCTGGGGCTTCCCGCCGTCACGGCCCGACCCCGCGGCCGCTCTCGCCCGCGCAGTCCTCCGGCCCTCGGCCCCGGAGCTGCCCGGCGCGCGCTCCCCGGGCTGCGGGGCAGGCGCCCGCCATCCCGGCCGCAGGTGGCGCCCGGGCCTCCACTCGCGTCCCACGCACGGTGCCCAGGACTGCTCCGCGTCCGGGACTTTCACATCCCTCGGTTCCGCGCGCCCTGTCCTCATGTGGCCCAGTCCCCGCATGTCCGCCGCCCCGGGTCGGGCCCTCTCCACGGCTTTGCCCTCCCCGCGCCTCTGCGCCGGGTGGCCCCCTCCCCCGGGGCTGCGGGCCCGCGGGGCTCCCAGCCTCCGCAGCCAGGCTCGGCTCTCCGAGCTCAGGACAGGGGGTAGTGTAGCCGGCGAGGGGCGCGCTGCAGGGCGAGGGGAGAAGGCTGCGCACCCGGGAGCCGCTTCGCCCGCATGGATCATACCCGGGAGACTTTCCCTGCGCGGCGGGCGGGGGCCGCGGCGCCTGGCCTCTAGCCCTCCTCCGCGCGGGAGCTCCAGCGAGTGGAAAACCTTCCCCTCTCCGTCTGTGGTACTTAAAGGCAATGGCGATTTCTTCTTGGTTTAGCCTCTCTGCAAGGGATAGTTCCGTGGCGGAGAGTAGAGTTCTTAATTATTAAGAAGCTAAGCGATGGGCTTATACGGATGAATGGGAGCATCTCATTTTCTTAGCCGCTATTGGGCGTATTAGGAATTCTTTCTCATTTGGGAATCAGTTTTAAATTCGCACTTCTACCAGCAATAATTTTTGAGTTTTATTAAAACACCGAAATTTGAAAGGTCCGTTTTTGCTTTGTGACTGTCCAAATCAAATGCATGCTGGGGCATGAAATTTTTAAGATCCAGAGTCCACGTTTTATGAGGGGAGGGGCTAAGCATTTGAAATACTTCTCATTTTAAAAATTAGTTTTGTCTAAACCTTTAAATGTCTCCGTCTCTCTCAAAACTTAAGTTCAAAGTGTTATAATTGACTTATTTTTCTTTTGCCTCTAGGGCAAATTCTGTTGAACCTCGGTTGCTTCTTTTTTGCATATGCTTTACTCAACTTTCCTTTTCTAGCAGTGAAACAATGCAGTGATTCTTGAAAGCTGCTTCCTTTATCTACTTGAGAGATTAAACAAAGGAAAGCGGGGGTTGACCTTTCCCATAGGCAGTTCTTACTGTGTCTGGTCTCCTTTCTAATAGCGTCCGCATAGTGCTCATTTTTCTTCATTTTTGAAGATCTTAATTTGTATTCACTAAAGTTGTGTCCTTTTGGATGTTTAAAGCTCACTAGGTTGGGAAGTTTGACTTTATGTATTTACAGTCTGACCTGTATTCCCTGTTGTCTTCAAACAGTGAAAAGAAGCTTGTTCTGGAACTATCTACATAGAAAAATTGTTCTTGTTACTTCCAGTTGCTGACATGAAGTTGCTTTATAGCATTGTTTTATCTGTTCCCTTAAAATTTATGACCTAATAGTCAATGATGTGCTACACTATTTTTAAAAATTCTGAAAATAAAGGTGGAATGCACTTTGCTAAGTGGTCATGCCAATGCTGTAGCCTCTTGTCAATTCTCAGCGTGTCTTTGTAGATCTACTTTACACTTCCCAGAGTAACCTGCATGTGGCAAGTCACCTTTTGGTTTTTGGAATGTTTCCACCATTAAAACAGTTGCTTATTTTAAGTATTAAAAGAATTGTATGTACTAGCCGACCAGTACAAGTTGTCTCCGTTTAGAATTCCCAGAACTTTCTCTGAAGAATAATCACAGACTGTATTTTCCACTTGTATGCTCTTGTCATTTCTTATATTTTCTTGGGATGGCCTCCACATTGCTGTACAGACTTAGATGCTCACCTTCTCAGTCCTTTTTTCTTAGAAGCCAGTTTTCCTCTTTAAGGTCAAGTTTTCTTAGGACCTGCACTTGGGCATTTGGAGCCCAATGCTGCTTGCAGTCCATGTGTTCTTCAGGGCTGGTTCTTTACACAGGATACATTTTATGCTGGTACTGCAGGAATACTGTATACCAGTCATACCTAAACAAGGCATATTATAAAATAAACGGAGTATCACTATGGAGGTACATGGAGTAACAAGTCCCAGTTCTCTTTTTCTGCTCTTATTGGTGCCCTGCCCTGGTTCTTTCTCCAGAGGTAACACACCTAATACGGTGGGGTGTGGCCTTCCAGAATTTTTTCTTCAGAAGCCATTTAGTGGATGCTTGCTAAGTACCTGTACTATTTTGATACTGGGATTGCAGAAATAAGAGATAAAAGCTCTCAAGATGTTGAGAGTCTGCCGAGGCAATTTCAGCACAGTGCAATCAGTGCTGTGATGGAGTTAGTAAGCAGAGAAGGATGTGAAGCATCACATGAATGACCTAGTCCGTTCATTCGCTTGCTTTATTCATTCGCTGTGCTTCAGAGTTTATCCTATGTGCTGGGGATACAAAGATAAACAAGACAGATGCCTCTTTCAGCGCCTGTTCAGCTGGGTTCTCGGATAGTTTTAACCATCGGTTTACAGTGCAGTGTATGGTACGTGCTCTGAAAGGGGTCAGCTAGAGGAGCTCACAGGATGACTGCAAACCCAAGCTTAGGGACTATTCAGAGAGATGAGAAAAGCCTCCCAGAGAAATACGGGAGAAGGAATTGGTCAGAGTCGGGGTTGTGGAGAGGCTCGTTAAAGGCTGTCAGAGAGATGGTGCATTGGAGCAACTGAAAATGTATGGTGGTGCGGCCACATGCAGAAGGGCGGGGAAGCAGCAAGAAACGAGACAGGAGAAGTGACTAGGGGCCGAGCCATCGAGGGTCCTCTGATTCTTGTTGTAAGGAGTTAGGACTCCTCTATAGGCAAAAGGAGACCGTTGCAGAATTCTGAAGCAAAAGGGCATGATCAGATTTGCCCTTTGGAGAATGGCTGGAAGGGAGCAAGTGTGGGAGGTGAGAAAGTCGAGGAGGTGGGATTGCTGGGCCGTGGTTGTTGGCTGGGGGTTGTATGTGCGTTGGGGGAGTTAGGAGAGCGAGGAGTTCAGGGCAGTCCCGAGTCCTAGCTGGTGATGGTTCCTTTCTTAGGGAGCTGTAGCCATTTGGAGAATAAAAAGGCAGGTGCACTTGGCCTTGTTAAGTTTCTGGTGGCCGTGGGACATAGTGTTTAGTTGACTACACTAGGGATCTGGCTGTCGGGGGATGTGTGGACTGGAGACAGCCATCCAAGGGTCCTTAGCACTGTAGTTCCCAAACTGTGTGCTGACGTGACGTAGTGAACTCACAGGGAGACTGCAAGGTAGTGAACTGGAGAAGGAGGCTCAGCAGTACATAACATCTGTCCAACCCTGTGGGAAATACCAGCTCCAAGTAGTCAACAGTTTCCACTGTCCGTTGTGCTGCCTTCCTTTTGATGATAGGTTTGTAGGGCGAGGTGTTCAGTGGTTGCGTTCCATGTGAAAATCAGTGTGGAACAGGAAATGAGTGAGGTGATATCCAGTCCAACTCCAGTGTTTGAGAAACTGTACCTGTGCTTTATTTAATGACATAAAGATACTCATTTTCTCTCATTTGAAGTGTGCTTTTAAAAAATGGGTAATAAGTTGTTAGGGCAAAAAAGTACTTAAGGTATTTGAACTTATCCAATGATTCAGTTACTCAGGCATTTCTTTTGGCCTGAGACACTAAGGGTGCAGTGAACAGAGAAGTTCTGGAACCTCTGCCTTTGCCTCTATTTGTTAATGGAGGCTGTTGGAGTGGACGACGTTATTCAAGAAGCACGTCCAGAGTGAGAACAGGAGTGGTGTAGAATGTGATCTGAGGAACTTTTGTGTTCAAAAGATACGCAGGAGAGAACAGGCTCCCACAGTGAGACTGAGGAGGACAGTTGTGTGTGGGGGGGAGAGGGGCATGAATGGTGTCTTAGAAGCCGTGGTCCAAGACAACATCAACAAAGAGGGATGCTAACAGCCAAGAAGTTACTAGTGCTATAGGTGGTGGCAGTGGTGATGCAGTGAGGGGGACATGAGCGGGATGGCCAGAGGGTTTAATAGTGGGAGCCAGGAAGCGGTGCCTGTGTGTAGACAACTCTTAAGAAGGGTGGTGGTGGTGAAGGGTGGCTCCAGGAGGCTGGGTAAAAGCCGGGGGGGGGGGGTACTTTTTTTTTTTTTTTTTTGAATGGAAGGATTTGAGCATGTTAAGGAACCAAGAGGGAGGGGTGCTAGCTAGCCAGAGATCCAGATAGTGGTTCCAAAGTTTCCATTGGATTTAGCCCTAGGATCTAATTACTGGTTTTCATAACAGGAGCCTTACTTCTGTGGACTAAGGACTCAATGGCACTCAGGTGGGGAAGCTAGTCAGGGTGTGCAGTGCTTTCTAAAACTTGGTTATCAGGAGGAAAGAAGGGCATTCACTAGAGAGGAACATCTGGTACAGGGTGAATTTTTTTTTTTTAACAGTGACTTTATTAACTTTTTTTTAAAAGAATGCTTTTTTTTTCTTCTCCTTAAGACATGCTTTCCCTAGGACTCATGGGTCCTTCTCAGGGAGGGTGCTCTGGGCAAAGCCGTGCCTTTTGCCAGGTCCTGGTGCCCCCTGAAGGTCATGTTGTCTGTGGCTGTGCTACCCTGTTTTCCTTTCGGAGCGCCCGCCTTCTACTGTCAGTGTTCTGCTGCTTACCTCAAAGTCAGTTTTGTTTGTTTTGCGCAAGAGCTTATCCTCCTATCTTAGCAG